AACAGAAAAATGCTATCTTGCCTTCTTTTTTTCATTGGCAGTCCTTACATTTGGATTCCAGGTAGAATAGTTCTACCCTGTCCTCTGGCAACTTTACTTGTTAGCAATAATGTGGTAAGGGGCAAAGTTGGTATTAACAACCTTAATTTACCTGGCAAGGGAAATTTCAGATAAACAGAAATCCAGTAAGCAAAATTTTCCTCTTGTAGCTGCAACAACCAACAGAAGCCTATCAGGAGCTGTAGTAAATTCCTCTTCTTATTTAGGCTTTTCCTTGTGAGACTGAAGTTTCCTGTAAACTGTAATTAATCTCAAGGGATTCCTCTCTTAATTTATCCTTTGGGAAGAGATCTAGCTCCTCAGAGTTTATCTGGGATATGTGAAAACGATGGTACTGCAAGCATTGCTTTGCTTTTGACCTGTGCAAGTGAATGGCATTGACAACAATTCAATCCAAGTGAATGGACGGGGGATTCCCTGAGTGGTGACTAAATTAGTTTTTCACTAGCCTTTTTTTTTATGTATAATTTTTATTAAGTTTCTTAGTATATTAAAAAAATACATATAAGTAGGCTAACAAACAGATGTACAAGCATATTCATACAGACCTGCCACCTAAAACATATACAAACAAAATTCCATCCTATCACATTTCTTCATGTTCCTTCTTATTCCTTATGTATAATCTTCAATAACTTATATTTCAAAGCTGCTAAATATATTTTCAAAATGTGATTTTGCTTTTTGTATATTAATCTTCTGTCTATTCGTCTCTGTTAACCTTACATCGTTAACCTTACATAATTCATTTTTTTTTATAAACACTTGCTAAATACCACTGACCAAAAGTTGGGATACATAGCCTGTAATATTTCTATCGTTTTTCACCAGCCTTTCTGAGAATCTGGGCTAGTTGTATCCTGGGGTTCTAAACCAGCATGAACTAACTGGTTTATTTATAACAGTAAGCCAGGAAACTGGGACTTGAGAGATCCAGGTTCCAGTACTTTCTAAGGAGTTTATCACACGGAAGGCAATCCTGTGCTTAAATCGAATTTAAACCCATCAATATCCGGCAAGAGCAGGATGATCTTCAGACAACATTCCCCATGTAACCATTATTCTGCAGTTAACCCACAGTTAACCTGTGAATAAAGCAGCAAAATTGTGCCGCTTTTTATTTTCGGGATTTTCCCGTAAATAAAAAGCGGCATGATTTTGCCGCTTTATTCATGGGTTAATTGTGGGTTAATGGCAGTGTCAGAGGACGTTGTCTGAAAATCATCCCACTCTTGCGGGATATTGACAGGTTTAAATTCTATTTAAGCATGGTAGGAGGAAGCTTCCCTCCCTTGTGATAAACTCCTAAGACATGAAACACAATGAAATAGAAACTCACTCTGAGTTGGACTGGCCTACTTCCCAGGGTTGTTATGAACATAAAGTAGGCAGGAAGAGAGCCATGTACACTGCTTTGAGCTCACTAGAAGAAAGGTAGAATATAAAGATAAATGATCATTATTGAACCAAAGTGTAAATGAGTTGCGTGGTGATGCACACACCCCAGTCACTTCTACTTCACTTCTCACTATATGAGTGGGTAGAGAAACCAGGAAAGGGAATACTTCTCATTACAACTGAATTTGGGATGATAGTTTATTGCATCATGTTTTAAAATCAAGAACAAGCCCTGGTTTAAAACTGGTTTACAGTCCTATCTTATTTGGTTACAATACACCACAACCTCGGTTTGGATGTGATTGAAAAACTCTGCTTTTCCAGGTTAGTTTACTTGAGAAGGGTGAGACATGAGTAAATGGGATGTGTGCACAATCTTGCTGCTCACTTGCATTGTGGTTTAATAAGCCAGGATTCCAAACTTAAAGAAATCTACAAATATGGCCAATAAGTGAACTAAGATAAATCATTCTCTCAGCATCAGTCCTTTCCCCCATATTAGCAGTATGAGGACAATGCTGCTCACCCTATCTTATAGGGTTATTTTGTATGTTTGTTATATCCCCGCACCCTTCAAAGAGCCTGGAGTGGCATCCATGGTTTTCCTTTGACCTATTCTGTTCTCGGAAAAACTACCACCTTTTAAGGCAGGGGTAGGCAACCTTTTTGAGACGGGGGCCGGGTTGCTGTCCCTCAGACAATTGGGGGTCCGAAGCACCAAAAATAAATAAATAAAAATATATTTTTTAAAAAAATTTAAAAAATATGCATGCACACTCTCTCAGCCCAAGAAAAGCCATGGCAAAACCCCTGTGGAAATTTTGCCAAGAAAACCCCAAGAACAAGTAATAACAACAATGATCAATATCATCATGGCGGGCCTACCCCTACTTTAAGGTAGGATATATTGAGAGATCATATAGGAGCAGCGTGGTGCAATGGTTCAAGTGTCGGACTAGGAAACTGGGAGATCAGGATTTGAATCCTGACTCAGCCAAATAAATCCACTGGCTGACTTTAGGTGAGTCACACTCTCTCAGCCTCAAAGGGTAGCCATGGCAACCCCCTTCTGAAGAAACCTGCCAAGAAAAACCCATGATAGTTCGCCTTATGGTCCCCATAAGTAAAAAATGACTTAGAGGCACACAACAACAACAACAACAAGAGAGAAAGAGTGTATTTGTGTGTGGGCTTCTGTCCCAGGGGTCACTCAGTGAAATTCATGGTTGAATAGAAACCTTGAACCCAGGTCTTCCCCTGCTTCACAGCCTGACACACCATAATAATAATAATAATAATAATAATAATAATAATAATAATAATAATAATTTTATTCTTATACCTCGCCTTTTGCCAAGGCAATCAAGGCGGCTTACACAATATAGGAAACAGTTTGAAAGCATACCTTACATTAAACAATAATAACAATAATAACAATAATAACAATTAACCCCCTCCTTAAAAGAATTTACTGAATTTACATATGTTAGGCCGCTTCTGAAAAAGCCTTCCCTGGACCCCCTGGATATGAA